AATAGATGTTTGAATAACATTTAATGATAGGTTCTTGCAAGCTTCATCGACCGCATTCTCTAGCTTATAATTACTATTCGTATATATTCAAGAAAACTTCTTCTGACCGTAAACTCTATATTTACATCAAAAATATGATTCGCAATCATTTTGTCATTGATAGTCAGACTATCCTATCGCCTAGCGGTATAATCAGGAAATCGTGGGTATTAGGGCAAGGGAACTATTACATTTATTCTCTGTTCCGGATGATGGTAGGGCGGTACTCGGCCTAGTGCAGCCTTGATGACGTCATTACCCTCGCGCATTCATCTTAGTTTCAGTTTTCCTGAAGAAAATGAATTTTTCTTGTAGAGAACTTAATAACGATATAAAAGCTTCTATTAGAAACAGTACAGAAAGTATTCATCTCTCTTCAATCATAGTCAACATACATGAGCAATAGTTTTAGTCAATAACCTGAAAATCTTTTATAGGATTTCATTGTACTAATTACAATCATTTCAAATTGACCTAGAAAATTCTCTTAAGGTACCCAAGATCAATGTCTAATTCATAGAAAAAAAAAACGAACAACTGTTAAATTTGTTTAGAATAGAAAAATATCTCAATAAATAAAATTGCTTTGAACGAAAAAGAAACTTGGTAGATTTTATTTTCGATGATATAATAAAAACGCAGAGAATGACAAATATAGGGACTAAATTAAAAACAAAAAAAAAAGGCACTATTATTTATCAGATATTAATCACTGTTCACCACCAGCATCATCTTCAACATTCGTTGGTTCTTCTTCTCGTTCGTCACCAGCTTCATCTAAACAAAAATTTTATTTTATTCTTTTTTGAAAATTATCAGAACAGAAAAAAAAACTTTACCAATTAGTAAGGCATTTGTTTCTACTCCATCATTTATATTATTTTCCATGGTAACAGTTAATTCTCCCGAACCTGATTCTGGTTGTTCGATATTTTGTTCTAAATCATGTCCAACATCACCCGTTGATGTTCCCATGTCAACACCACCACCTTCAACTGCCTTTTAATTAACAAAAAACAAAAAGAAAATATTATTTTTTTTAAAATAAATAAATATAAAAAATAAAACTTGTATAAGTGCTTCAGCCAATTTTTCATAATCATCAATTCGTTGATTAACAACATCTCGAATAATTGAATCAAGGATAGTTCGTCCGAGAACTAATTGATTAACTTGTGTCATTGTCTTATCCATTAACCATGGCATAAATGATGTTTCAATTTCTAAAAGAAAAAACAAAAAAAAAACATCTTTTTTATTTTGTTTGAAAATAAAAAAAAACGAATACCATGTTCAACAGGATCATAAAAGTATCCATTTTCTCTTAAATTATTAAATACACTTGGTACAAGATCTTGTAAATAAGCTTTAGCAAAAGCTCTAGCAGCTATTTTTTGTGCAACATCTTGTTCTGATCGAACTGCTTCTTGTGCTTGTTTCATTCGACGATCTTTTTCAGATCTTAAACGTCTTTCTTGTTCTTCTAATCTTTGTAATTCAATTAATTCAGCATTACGTATTTCTTCATATTCTCGTTGTTGTTCACGGATTTCAGCTAGTTCTTCTTCTTCAGCAACTTCAATTAATGCTTGTTCAACTGTTTTACCAATTAATGTTTCAACAATTGGTTTGACTTCAAGATCAAAATCAAATAACTAAAAATTTTATAATTAGATTTAACAAAAAAAAACAAAGGAAAAGAAACGAAAAGAAATTTACATCGCCTGTTTCAATTTGAGTAGATATATCTTTGCCAGTTGATTGTGGAATAAATAGAGGTGATGGTGGTCGATCAAGAAATGCATCTGTTTGAACATCAACATCTGCTTCTTCAATTCGATCACTATTATCAAATAAGTTAATCACATTTTTTTATTTAATACAATCAGATTATCACACGATTATATTTAGGGAGATACTAATTTCTAGAACATATTATCTCAACATAGTGAATGTGTTTTTGTAAGCAGGAATTAAACTAATTCTTTGAATTTCTAATCGGAGTCAAGAATATCTCCAGTATTGAAAACTGTCAGACTCTTATTAATTCTTCATGCCAGTTGTAATCAGTCTTGATTCGAATCTATTTTTAGGTTTTGTCTAAAATAAAATACATGTCTCAAAATCATTTGAAATTGGTCGAAAAAAAAAACTTAAAAATGTGAATTTTTGATCAATTTCAAAACCTTGGTTTTGTATTTCATGAAATTCAATTACAGTTTCTGATAGAACAATCAAAGTTGATCACGATTGATATAAACAATCCATAGGAATTAAATTGTTAATTAACGAAAACAAAAAATCTCTTCTTTGACATCATGTGCTCAGTTCCATTTTGATTCACTCATACCTTATTCGATAGATTATATTGAGATAAGGAAAAAATTTTCAAATCTTTGGACTCATGGCCTACTCACGAATAGTTATGACTGTAAAAAGCGAGATTTCAATACTTCTCGTTAGTTGAGTAGCTATACGTAATCTTTGAATGTAAGGAAATGTTTCTTTGATTCCTTTAAATGATAAATACATTTTATATTGAAATATCTGATAATCAAGAAAAAATCTCGAGAATGAAGTTTTATTGATAAATAAAAAGTATTTCAAAGTGTACAGGTAAAGTTGCTTGAATTCTTTATTATACAGATTAGTGACAAGTTGAGAAAGTTAAAAGTGATCGATCTTCTCTTTTCATATTGTTTTGTTGATATATTTTAAGTAAAAAAAAGACAATAAATGTGCTCGGGATTTGTCATTTTATCTAATTATTTCAAAGAAATATACATATAAAAATTCTTTATCTCATAGAATAATATATTTCTAAACCTATCTATAGAATTCTATGAAAAGAATTTACCCGTACTAACATCAAATGAAAATAATATTCAATTTCTGATTAATGATATCAATAGATGTTTGGTAATCCTCAAATTTAATCTCTGTATAAATAGAAAGGAAAATGTATAAGATGTTTCAATATAAAGATTTCAAAGATGAAATGTAAAATCTAGTGAAAATATTCACCTAAGTTCTTCAAGATAAAGTTCTGTTTGTACATCAATATTTTTTCGATTATGTACAGGATCAGGTGTTCGTGTTCGAATTTGTTCTCGAGCCTTACGTCTTGCTAAAGCACGTCGTTTAGCTTCTTGTTGACGTTGAACTTCAATTGGATCTGGTTGTGCATGCTATCAAATATAATATTATTGTTTTTATTGAAAAAAAAATTTTTTTCTTTTTTAATTAAAATAACTCACAGCGGGAAGTGTATGAAGAGCATAAGTGTTACCACGAATAACACGACGATCATACATTAAATTTCCATATACATTTGTTTCTTCCCTTTATTAAACAAATATTTTATAGAAATTAAAAGTAGATTTTCAACTTATTTTAAACTTACGATGGATTAACAATTTGTTGTCGAAATTTTTGTCGTTGTCCTTGTTGTTGTTGAACTGCTTTAGGTTGACTTGAAAATGTATAAGTTGAATTAGGTGGTTTAACAAGTGTTGCAGCCATTTTAAAAGAATAGCTATTAACTATACTAAAATAATAAATAAAATGATGATAAAAATTAAAAATTAACGACGAAATATAAAATCATGCTGATTGAATAACAATCAGAAAACAAAACATGTTGTATGAGTATGTGTATTATACTCAACAACCACAGTTCACAAATGACAAGACATCATTATTACTGTTGTTACAGTAGAGACTTCATCTATAAATTTTTATTTAATTTTACCTTAGAAATATTTTAAATAAAATCTTATTAAACAGATAAAAATCATGAGCATTTTCAATATTTTAATTTAAACAAAGAAAAAAGAAAAACGGTTTTGTACTATTTGATAGCGTCCTCTATCACTCTCCTTAAGTGGATGAATAATAGAAAACTATTTTGATATTCAGATTTTCGTCACTCTCTCTAAAGTTAATCCAAGGTAAACCAAAAATATACGAAATATTTAAAACAAATAGAACAATTTAATAGGGGAAAACCATTAGTATTCATTCTCATTCTTTTTTTTTTCTATCAATCTTTAAAAAATCATTTTTTTAGCTAGACAATAAATTCTTATGATACATGAGTAAGACCAAGTATTACTATCACTTCAAACATAGAAGCAGAAGAAATCAACCACAAGCAAATGTTATCATACATGTAGAACTCAAAGAATTCTTTCAAATTTTCAACTGGGAATGAGGAGACTATATTGAACTAGAGAAGTTAATACTGTAGAGAGGCTGAATAGTTAGGAAAGAAACAGTGAGGTGGATAGAGCCCGTCGGGTGCAAGGATTTTTGGACCCGGGCCCAATTATTTAAAAATTTTATACCCGGACCCGCTTGTTTAAAAAACGTTGGACCTGGACCCGGCTGCTTAAGTTTTTTAGGTCCAAACACAATGACAAATCGGTTTAGATAGTATAGTCAACAAGAGTTTTGTTATATTTTATCTATTTTCTAAATAAATTTCATTTCTTTTTTTTCATAAAACGAACAAAACTTTTAAAAAATTCAAAACATATTATGTGTATCAAAGTTTCCTTCAGACCCGGACCCGATCAAAGCAAAATTTTTAGACCCGGGCCCGAGCGGGACCGGGTCCTACCCGATGGCCTCTGGAGGTAGATCAAGACTGAGTGTGAAGGGTAAAGTCAGCACTGAAGAGGATAAATATGAAAGAGAAAAATTCTGAGTGGTATCAACAATTAAGTTGCCAAGAAGACAGATATAGTGAGACAGTTCTGGTGAATAAAAGTTTAATAGTCGGAAAGTTGAAAACTTGAATAATCAACAATTCGGTAGAATAGTTGAAAACTGCAAAAACAAATTTCCGCTCGAATTGAGTTTTTGAAATTTGCACTACTGCTCCTTCATTGTAATGCATTGAATTTTTATAAATGAATCTAGTTTCCTTCATATTTTATTTTAATAATCGTTTACAATAATCAACCTATATTTATCTGAGGAAAATAGTCTTTCATATGTTCAGTAATTTCAGGTCCATTTGGTATACATAAATAATGGACTTTTGCACAATTGATTCGTGTTGCATGTCTTGAGAAATTTTCTGTAACTCTTTTCAGTGCTTCATAATCAACAAAAAGATAAAATTTATATGGCAAATATGTTTCTGTATTAATCAGGAATTGTTCGATGTAATCATCATGAGCTTGATCAAAATATAGGTTAGTCAGATGAAGATATTTAATAATTGGTAAGTCTTGATTGTCTTTCTTTGATTGTTTATATAATTTATTCTTTTGTGGTTTATTATTATTTATAGTTAATTTTTTCATAAATGGAAATGATTGAGCTATCTGAAGAAAAAATTCATATTCAAATGGACGTTCATCAAATAACGATACATTATCAACATATTTAAATAATCCACCTGGAAAATTATTTTTAATATTATCATAATATTTCATTCTATATGAATATGAATAAATATGACAGTAACTAAATTGATTTTCTTCGAAAAAGTTAGCACAAGAAATAATTTGATTATCTTTAAAATCTTTGAATGTATGTTTAATATCTTCATTTGAAGGTAAATTCGTTTGATTAGGACGACGATTGGTTAAACGAATATTAAATGTAAATTGAATTAATCGTGGCATATTATTTATAATATTTTCTTTTAAATCATTTCCATCAATAAATCCTTTATAACGATCGACTTTAAGATGTAAGTCTAGTTCCTCTAAATTTAACATTCGATGTAGAAGTGGTAGAATGAATTCATCATAATAATGCACACGCATATCAGAATATAGTGAAAAACATCTTAAATTAGGTAATTTTTCCTAGAAATTAGAGAATAAATTTCAATTTATTTTGATAGATTTATTATTAATCTACCTGACGATAAATATTTGAACTTCCGTGTTGAATGCGATAAATATTAACATGAAATCTACGTAGTTGATTAAAACGTCCATCAAGTAAATAAAGCAAATCATTGAAGTGAAACACAGTTATATGTAATTCTAATAAACTTGAAGAAATAACATTTGGAGATGGCATATCAAATGAAAATCGTTGATGCCACATCAAAGATGGACCGAAATTTAAATATTCTAATTTGGTAAATATATTAAATATATGTTTAAACACTATTTTGTTGACATCATTTGATGGAATCCATTTTTTATCGCTACAAATATAAAAAAAAAGTGATGATATTTGATTTTTGACTACATGAATAAAAGTAGTGTCGTCTAAAAATAAAGAAAAAAAAAAGGTCTTCAAAAATCAAACTAATTATGTAACATACAAATTCATATTTAGATTTCTAAATGATCTACTCGAATATATTATTAATATATTAAAGCAAATTATGCTGAATTATTCAATTATTGACAATTAAAATAACTCACCGGTAAAGAGATATATAGCTTTTTCTACATCAATACCATATAAACCAAGTCCATATAAATTAGGATAATTTCCAGCAAGAAGAATACGTTCCATAAATTTTGATTCAAGATTAAGCCATTTTATTTTATGATCAATTTCAGGTAAAATTTGTGAACAAAATCGATTAACCATTGAATCAGATAATGAATGAATGTATTTATCCAAGAAATATAATGTTAAATTACTTGTAAAAACTGAATCACATGCAATTCTATTAAGTCGTTTATTAACACCTATTAAAGAATAAAGTACTTCGACATTAGACAATTTTTTCAAGATAATTATGAGAATCTCATCCGGTAAATCATCTAATTTAATTGACAAATGTTCCATATTAATTGTGACTCTATGTATTGTTTTCACTTGTGAACGTTAATATTTATGTGCTCATTTCAGTTATTTGACCGATGTCGTCAATGATCGCCAATAAGAATAATAATATACTTTTTTTTCTGGTCTGAATCAACAATGATCAATTAATTGAACGAATGAAAGTTTTGTGAATGAACAAATCCTTTATATGTAACTAGAAATTTTATATTAACACAATTGAGACGTACTGCATCATTGGTAAAATTATTTTTTTTTATTTTGCTAATAACTGATGACCATTGTCATGGTCTTTACAGTACATGAGTTGAGAGGAAAAAAAAGGTAGAAAAGCGTAGTATTAATATAGAAAAATAAGAATGAGTTACAGATAATTTAGGAGATAGTGTATTCAATTCTTTTCTTTAAATGTTTCTAGGAACTCATATAAAGTGACGACTTCTTCTGAATCATAATTAAGATTTGAAGGGAGGCTTGCGCATCAGGAAGTACATTTATCAAGAAGTGATATAAACTCGACATATCTTTTGAATCGATTAATCCCATATAATTAATTTATGAATAAAAGAAAAGTCTTGAGAAATTATTTTGAGTAATTTGTGTTCAAATGAACCGTTTATCATGCATTAATAATATTCGAACTTTATCAAATTTTTCACCTTGAAAACGATTATCCATATACAAGAATTCGTCAATTTGAGATGAAAGTGAATAAACATAGCAGTTGATTCTAAGATTGATAAGTTTATCATCGGTATATGTATCAATTAATTGAAGTTCTCTTTTAATATGAACCTATTCCGAATAACATTATTCAATGGAAGATCAATTTTAATGTCATAGTTAAAGTAATTCCAGTGTGTATACTGAAGATAAATTTGTTTAGTTGTGGCATATAATTAAGAACTTCATCGTATAATTGATTACCATCGATATAAGTTGACTCAGTTCTTCTTACGTGAAAGTAGTAATATTAATTGTTCAATATTTCACATTTGATGAAGTACCCATGGAAAATAAATTTTGAACAAAAACCGCGGTAATCATCGGTTTTTCTAGGAATATCTGAGCCAGAAAACCGGACTCAGTAATACCTAAATCCACTTGAGCTTTTCTCAAAGTTCAGGCGAGTTACCTTTCGAGGGATAGTGTAGTGAACTTTATCAAGTTCCATTACAACAAAATCGCTTCGTTATGAAAGATAGAATAAGAAAATGTGTTTAAAATTTCTCGAAAATAGCTGGGCACGACATCCTCGTTGTCCTTATATATTCTGTCAGATTTCAATAGATACTAGATGCACTGCGGTTCCTGAAACCGGTGGATACCGCAGTGGCATCGCGATATTTCAAAATCCATAGATAGCACAATTAATAGGGGTGACCCATCGTCTTTAAATATTTTTTATCATAAAGGATAACTATAAACAAATCGTTTATCTTCCGAAAATAAATATAAATAGATGATCTAGCTTAAAAAATAAACGATAAAGATTTTTGTGTGATTAACTTTATTTTTTAAATAATAAATTACCTTTTATATAATATTTTTTACTTGTCCTCATGATGTTATTTTTGATATTTTTGTTCAAATAGAATAAAAGCTTTATTATCACGTTTCAATAATCGAGTTTACTTTCTTCAGATGACATGCAAGAATATACAGGTGATGTTATTTTTCTTTTTCTCTGTTGTGATCATATCGTATTGGGATAGAACGACATTGAAACCTATTAGGAGAAATTGACTATCTGTCTTTTTCTTCCGTCATACGATTAAAGCAACTCAAAAGAAAAAACAACTGCTATATATTCCTATAATACTCATTGAATACTAATGATTTGCTACTATTTAAACGGACGAGGGAAGGTTCCCAACTTAAGAACGCTGTTCGACTTCATATTCTGACTACGAGGTAGGTCGCTATAAGACTAAGAAAAGTCTAAAAGGATTTGTGCCCATAGCCTATTGGTGAAGAGTTATAGCCGTTCTACTGAATTTTGGACCTGTGGCAACGGACTTACGAAAAGATCGAATTAAACAATTTCGACCTGAAATTTTGCTCATAGATAGGTCTAATGATTATTAGAATTGCCTGAAAGTTTCAGCCAAAGAGAATGTTCCTTTCTCGAGATATTCAACTGTCAAATAAATTCACTTTTTGTGACCTGTCTGTGAAAAGTGATTATTTTTTGATAATTTAATATCTCGAGAAAGGAACATTCTTTTTGGCTGAAACTTTCAGGCAATTCTAATAACCATTAGACCTATCTATGGGCCAGATTTCAGGTCGAAATTCTTTAATTTGATCTTTTCGTAAATCCGTTGCCACAGGCCTAAAATTCAGTAAAACGGCCATAGCTCTTCACCAATAGGTCATGGATACAAATCCTTTTAGGCTTTTCTTAGCCTTATAGAGACCTACCTTGTAGTTATAATATGGAATCGAACGGCGCCCTTAAGTTGGGTACCATCTCTCATGGGTATGTGTTTAAAACTACAATAACCGAATATCTTCTCGAAACTTTTTAATGAAAGATAATTCTTTAGTCATAGGTCTTGGTAATACTTTGAAAAGATATTATAAAAATAGAGCTTGTTTGTCAAAACAAAAATTGGTGTATGATGCAAGACTAATCATCCCCCATCGGATCTCATTATAATATTAGATATTAGACGCATGACAATAACTGTTTATTTATTTCATTCGGGAAATGGTCATAGTACACAAGTATACAAAACTAAAGAGAAGGTTTAAAGCAAAAAGTGGAAGGACATATAAAAGAAAAACACACGTCACAATGTATTGGTAGAAAAAAAGTTATTTCTACATCATTCATTATTTGATATATTATTTGTTTTTTTATTTTATTTTTTCCATGTACCTAAAACAAATCAATGAAGATTAATAAAAAAAAAACAATAGAATAATGACAAACCAGTTTCATAATCCCATTTAGCTGAAAGACCGGTCATAGGACCTTGTCGAGCAGCAATATGATATTGTAATTGTTTCTTTAATTTTTCCTCACCGAAACTATCTGGTGTTTCAAAAGGATAGGCTAAAATGATTTACATATTTAAAAAAAATCGATATCTTAATATAAAATAAATTCATACCAACACGTCTCCATCCATCATAAGCTAGAATGAGACCTGCTAATGCAATTAAAGTCCATCCCATAGTCCATTTCCAAATACCGGATGGAGCTGTAAATTCTTCGAATGTTTGACGAAAACTTGCTCGATAAACTAAAATAAAAATTTTAATAAAGAAATAAAATCTAAAAAAAAACCAAAGGTAAACATACGTCGTTTTTTGTCTTCAGTTGATAATTGTTTCCAATCACCTTTTTCTTTTTTTCTTAATTCAGCAATTTCTGATGTATCAGCTTCCCAACGAATACTTGGACATGGAAACATAACTAAATCAAAATATTCTGGTTTGCCTTTTAAACCATAACCAACTATTTCACGATTTCCAATACGTGGATGCATTCTCATACGATCAGCATCTAATGGTGGTGGTGGTTTTGTATTATCTAATACAATTGGACTTTGTTGTATAACAGATTTACTTCCTGCTGTTGTTGTTGTTGTTGTTGTTGTTGTTGAAGCATTTAAACGACATTGATATTGTAGCATCGAAGTTACTTGAGGATGAGTTAATTTTACATGTCGAAGGAGAAGATTATTCATCCTTCTTTAATAAATGAATTTTTAATTCGATATATCTATGAGAAAAAAAAAACATTTAATCTTCAAAAGAATATCAATAACTGACACCTATTTATAAATAGAAAAATCCAAATGTAGCCAAAAAGAAAATAAGAAATAAATAATAAACCACAATGGCGACATCATTTTGTATTCAATTGATCCATCAAAATCAACCAATGAAATCGAGTACTTCAGCCTTCCTTCAAGAGATTTTTCCCAGCAGCATTTATTATTTTTTTGAATATTCAAAATAAAAACAAGAAAAAAAAATTCTTAAAATAAATCTTCTTCAATATGAAGAAATTATTTAAAAGATATGGTTGAGTGACAATCTACTCATTCACATCTACATGCAATAATAATATGTTACTCATTTATTCGGTCACACACATCAAAATAAAATGCAGAAAAAAAAAACGAAAAGACAAACAAATTTTCTACTGTTGACTTTTGTTAAAAATTTTTTGTTTTTTGTTTTTTTTTGTTTTTGCTTTTAGATCAATAGTTATGAAAGAATATCTACGCATATCATTTCTATTTTTCTATATGGTAACTTATTCTTCGGCAACTCTTGTCGATGGAATTGTCACAATTTCTTGGGATCAAAATGAACAAGTTCCAATAATTGATCGTTTTTTAACAAGTGATACACAAATTCAATTAAAAATTCTTTGTCGTGAATCATCATTAAATACAAGTGTAACAAGAGAACTAATTAAAAAAAAATTATATAAATTAAATGAAAAAGTTACAGACACAAATATTATAATTCGTGGTCGAATTGGTCGTGTTGTTGGATGTTTACCAATGCAATCAGATCCATTTATATCTACAACACAAGAAGATAAAAATACAGAAAAAAAACTTTTACAAATCTATTATGATCTTATGTGGAAAGAAATGGAACAAATGACATTTACAGCAAAACAGTCAGATTGTGATTATTCTGGAACACATTTAGTTATTGAACAATATTCAGATATTAAAAAACCAGAAATATCACCTCAACAAGCTATTAAATTACGATCACAACAAGTTAATATTAATAAAAATAAAAGAAATCGTCGTGCTACTAATGATATATCATCACCTTTAGCTAATAGTGTCCGTTTAAGTACAGGAACATTATTAACATGGGCTGATGGATTTTATCTTATTGAAATTTATAGACCAGAAATAACAGGTTCATATTCTTCTGAACTTGATATTGATGTTATTGTATCAATGAAAAATCGTCATAATGGTTATATAACAGCTGATGAATATCCGGCTTTAGTTTTTTATGGTGTTATGTGTGCTATTTATGCATTATTTGCTATATTATGGTTTGTTTGGTGTGCTTTCTTTTGGAAAGAATTACTTAAAATACAATTTTGCATTGGAGGAGTTATTCTTATCGGTATGATTGAAAAATCAGCATTTCTAGTTGAATATGATACATTAAACAGAAATGGGTAAACATTAACCTATAAATCTAAACAAAAATAGAATTTATTCTTTTTTATTTGTTTCTCATTTAGATATAAAGTTCATTATGCAATAGTTACAGCAGAAATTTTTTCATGTTTAAAACGTACACTATCACGTATGCTTGTTATTATTGTTGCAGTTGGTTACGGAATAGTTAAACCACGTTTGGGACCATTGAAACAAAAAGTTATTGCTATAGGAATAATTTATTTTGGAATAGGAACAACAGAAGCAATTCTTCGAATAAATACAAAACATGATGAAACAAATAATAAAATCTTAATATCACGTATACCATTAGCTGTTATTGATGCTCTTATTTATTATTGGATATTTACAAGTTTAATTACAACAACACGAACATTACGTTTAAGAAAAAATTTACTTAAATTAAACGTTTATCGACATTTTACAAATACAGTTTTATTTGCTATTATTGCAAGTATTTTATTTATAATTTGGTCATTAAAATCACATTTTTTTACAACATGTATAACTAATTGGAGAGAATTTTGGGTAAAATATTTCTATTTATTTTATTAACAAAAAAGAAAGAAAAGAAATTAATTTAAGGTTGATGATGCATTTTGGCATATTTTATTTTCCATAATTCTTCTTGTCATTATGTTTTTATTTCGTCCATCAAATAATAATCAACGTTATGCTTTTGTTCCATTACTTGATCATTCAGATAATGATGATAATGATGATAATGAATTTGATGGAGATGAAGAAAAAGGTGGTAAGATAATTATATATTAATTTACTATGAGAAAAATAATATTCTCGTTTGATATATGATCAATATAAATCATAGATTTTATTACAAGCAATATTCATGATTTTTTCAGCGAGAAAAACATTGAATAAATCAATTAAATGAATTTTTAGATAAAATAACTATTTAAAAGGATTATGTTAAGTATTTTACTCGTTATATAAAACTAAAAATTCTTTGAATATTTTCTTAATAGAAAGCAGTCTTCAAGATATTATTAGTAATTCGATCTGTATATTGTCTAATGACAAAACAGGATAGATGAAGGTTACGCTATTCTATTTATGTCGTTTGGTACGAGAAATGATTGTCAAAAGAAAATGAAAGCTATTATAATAATCTTTCCGTTATGTAAAAGGTCAATTTGATCTGATCTAATCTAATCTAATTTATTCATCTATTGAAAGGAGACTGTTATGCATTATTTACACAAGTCTATTACCTTATTAATGTGATCCTCAACATTTTTCATTACGACAAAATATTCTGCATACGGTTTTTGCAATATAAATAATCGAGATTCATTTAGATTAAAAATCATTTTTCGATTTATTTATTATTTAGTAGAAAGAGAAAACCTATAGACCTTTTAACTAATCGATCAAAGCTTGTTAACATCATCATATGAAAATAGTGTAGCAGTTTTGTTCACGAATACAAATTCATCGAACTAAAATAGTCATTCTTCAATTAAACTTTTTTCGAGCACTGTTAGTTAGATCTTTCTTAGACCTGAGAAAAAGAGATATAACTTTTTTTTTTGTTTTCTATAATAGAATCCACTGTCTTTGATTCGATAACAATGCGTAGAGTATCAAATACTGGAAATGGTGGATTATTCAAAACTAAAAAACAACAACAAACATTTTTAAATCGTGAAGCAAATGTATCTGGTAGTGGAGTTGGTGGTTCAAGTGGTAATGGTACAGTTGAAGATGCTTTATCATGGGTTGAAGATAATATTCCAACATCAATTGCTGATCAAGCATTACAAGCATTAGATAGTGAAGATGAAATTATCAATGCAAAATTAGAACGATCAAAAATGCAGTAAAAACAAAATACGCATAATATAAATCATTCCATTAAAAAATACTCCATTTTCTAAATATTATTAATGATTTGCTTTTGTCACTTAACTTTTTTTTTTGTTTTTTCATATTCATTATTATCTCACTTTTAGTCTTTAAAACATTTCACTAACAAAATGCTTTTTCTTTTGGCTTGTCATATATTTATTTCTTTTCTTTATATAAGAGTTTGCTGAGCAGTTTTTATTTCTTCAAATGACAAAAAATATCTTTTGAATTGACTTTTTGTTTGTTTATTTTTGTTTTGGGGGTACATTTTTTTTTTCGTTTCTCTCAATTTATATAATTTTCTTTTTTTTGTTCTTTTCGAAGGAGAAAAATGTTTGAAAAAGAGTATAATAAGATTTCTCATTTGCTTTGATTGTGATACGAAATATTAATTTTCAGATATATTATTTGTACATAGTTATTATTGATTATACTTTGTTGAAAGATAAATGTTAAGTGTATTTATTAATTCTTATCTTATCTTATCTGTATTATGTTTATATATACTTTAATGATAATAATTAAAAAGAAATGATCAATGGCAGCTGCAATGACAGTATCAAATAAATCTTCTCTTCTTAATTCATCACCAATAATTAATCCAATAGAACCATTTTCTCCAACTTCATCATCAACAACACTCTCACCTGAATCAACCAATTCAATATCATCACCAGATAAATCAATTTTATTAAATGAACAACAACATCAATCAATTCGTCTTGTTGATTATTTTGTAGTTTGTGGATTAGATAAATATCTTGATGTTGAACCTTTATTGGAATTACCTGGTAAAAAAAAAAAAAAAAAAAAAAAAAAACTTCTTTTTATTTATTTATTTAACGAAATTTTAAAAAAATGTTTCAGTAACTGAACAAGTTTTAAATCCATTTCAATGTTCATATCGATGTCGTGTATTATGTCATTATCCACATGAAGTTTCAAATAATTCATTTGATGAAGATGCAATTAGTCGTGTAAGAATTTTCATTTTCAAAAAAATATTTAAATATTTATTTATTTTTTTCTTTTAAACAAATAGTTATCAATGCCAGATGGTGTTTCTATTCGATTAAATTCTCCTGATCCTCCAAGAACACATCCTTTTTTAATAACACGTCTTGATGGAAACCGTTATTATGGTGTTGCATTAACATTTTTTGAACAATTAAATAATGATGATGAAAATAATTCTGAATGTTCATCATCATCATCAACAGCATTTATATCTTTAAATCATTTAATTGAAAATTATAATCGAACATGTCGACATCAACGTCGTTCATCATCATTAATTTATGCAAGCAAAGCAATTTGTTTAATTGGTTCACAAGCACATTATTCAACATTTAAACGTATTTTAGAACTTCTTTATCGTATGACAATTGAACATGATTTATTAGGTTTACCATTTGAAGCTCATTTACATAATATTTTACATGAATTATATATACCATCACCATCATTATCACATTCAGTTCTTAAATTTCATGTTGGTGAACGACAATTAACTGTTTGGCAACCAAGTATTCATGATAATGATTTACCATTATTAGATTTTAATTTGTTGGATTTTTTTTCTTTATTGGGTGTTGAAGGTGTTGTTGATCTTGTTACATGTGCTTTATTAGAACATCAAATTATTCTTAAATCTTCAGGTATTATTTTTTTTGTCATTCTTCACTGGACAAAAGAATTTTTTTATCATCAACAAAGATTTTAGTTCATAATAGTTGTCTATACATATAGACAAGATAGTGTCGGTCACATCGTGATGGGTATTGGCAAAATACTCTCTGATCGTCGCATTCCACTTAGGACATACACTAATGCTCATTTCAAAAAAAAAACGACGAGTCAGTATTTTTTTTGAATAGCTTTGGAAGGGATGACATAGAGCGCTGCAATTTTCATCATTGAAAAGAGATGATGAAGAGGCATCGAAATATATACGAAAAGACTTTTCTGATTATTTTCCTAAGAGTCTTATGTAAAGTTCCTAGAAAATTAACATGTCTTGCGTGGGCGTGATATTGACTTATTTATTTTCAGAAGTGCATTAGAATTAGAGAGCTGCGTGACCTGCTTTTTTTTATCACGGTTACGGTCACGGTCACGGTCACTGGTAAAGGAAAAGAGTTACACGTCCGGTCACGGTCACAAACACATTGAAAAATTTTGGTCAAGGTCACGAACACGGTGACGCAGTTCTCTAGTTTTAGTGCACCTCTGAAAATAAATAAGTCAATATCACACCCACGCGAAACATATTGATTTTTTGGGAACTTTACATAAGACTCTTAGGAAAGTAATCAGAAAAGTCTTTTCGTATATATTTCGATGTGTCTTCATTGTCTCTTTTCAATGGTGAAAACTGCAGCTCTCTATGTCATTTCCTTCAAAATTTATTCAAAAAACAGAACTACTCATCTTTTTTTTTTAAATGAGCGTTAGTCGATAGAGCTTGAAATTCTAAGCCAAAAGTTCAACGAAATAAATGTTTAGAAAATAAAGTCAAATGTAGCTGCTGCTATGTTACATCTTTTGAACTGACAAGGGTCATCAAGCATTTATCACAAGTTTATCTAACACTATTTTTTCAAACATCCATTTATTTGAGTTTTTTGGTTTAAAGCATATTTTACTAATATTTTCCCTGACTTGTCTCGCTCGTGTCTAGCTGTCTATCACCAGTATCTAGGGAAAAACTTTCGTGTGAGAGGAATCAAACTTTCTGGTGTTTGCTAACACACCTATTGCATATTGTTATGCATTTTCTTTTGATAGATTTCAAAATTTGATCTTGTTTGAAACAGCGTTTTTGAAGAAAGTATCTCCTGCCGGATTTATACAACATAATGTCTGACAGTCATGATAGATTTTTGACATCGACTCTGAAGAGTTGTTTAATAGCAAAGAAACTATGTGTTACAAGAAAATTGTTGTTTATTAATAATAATTTTTTAAACTGAATATTGATATCTACGGAGAGTCTCGATCATGGTTTTAATCAAATTCAATCTCAATCAGATTGTTAATGAATATTCAAATGATCGAAAATGAAGTTAAAATCAAAACTAATATTCTCAGTCTGAATAGATGTCTAGTTAGAAATTCTTTTTAGATGACCTTATAGACATTTTTTCTTTCGAAAGTTATATCAACAAGAGTTCAGACTGTAGGAGAATATTTAACATAAAATTTGAAAGTAAAGATTTTTGCTCATACATAAATTTTCTGATCTTCTTAAAATCCAGATGATAATTCATTAGTATAGTCTAAAATTCTAATAAAACAACAATAATAAATTGATAGAGAATATTCTTCTATACTAATAAAGATTTATTTTGATTAATAAAATAAATAATTTAGATTATACTCGTTTAATGCTTGTTGCTGAATGTTTAACATCACTGTTATTTCCATTTCAATGGACACTACTTTATGTTCCAATAGTATTTACTGCTGCACTTGTTTGTCTTGATGTTCCTGTACCTGCTATAATGGGTCTTTGTATAAATAGAACAAATGTAAATTATGATGGTAAAGATGTTGATAATGATGATAAATATAGTGATACAAGTGATGAATTAACATTTGAAGTTCAACGAGGTATTGTTAATATTGATACGGGACATATTCAATTGCCTGATGATATGCCACGTTTTCCAGATCGTATTTGTTTTATAAATGAATTAAATAATATATTATCTCGATTTAATAATTATATTCATAGTAATTCATCAAAAAATTCATATAAAACTAAAGAAAAATATGGAAATAGTGAAGATTGGACACATATTGATAATGAAAATTTATTAAAAGAATCAAAAGATGAACCAAGTCAAGCATTATCAAGACTTTCAGCAATAGCTAAACGTGCTGGAATTGTTGTTAATAATAATGATAATGAAAATCTAAAAAAAGCATCATGTTTATTTAATGAATCTGAATTACGTCGAATATCAGCAAATAATTGTTTACGTGCATCATTTGTAAATCGTTTTGCTCAATTATTTAGTCAAATGGATGCATTTATATGTTATCCACCATTGGGTAAATATTCAAATGTCGATCAATGGTTAGCACAACGAAGTACAACAAAAAATTTTGAGCGAACTATGTTTATTGCTGATCAACCAAAACCACATGTGCCTTTTTTACTTGCATTTATGGAAACACAATCGTTTGTTTCATTTGTTGATTGTAAAATAGCAGCGAAATTTAATGAAGATAATCATCTTTTTGGTTTAACGAATAAACATTTACAAGTAAAGATTTGTTTTTTTTTTTTTGTTGAGTAAAATTATTTCATAGGAAAATTTTTTATTTTTTTATTGAAAGTATTTTTCTGATCGTATTCGTTTATATCGTGATCGTCGTGATTTAAGTTATCAATGTTGTCCATCAATTGATTCAATTGATGAAGAAACTCGTCGTTGTTTTACTTCACCTTTTCCATCTTCATTAGTTATAATGAATGCATCTTCAGTTCGTCCACTTGATAATTTATTTTCTACATCGAATAATTCTTATTTATTTGAAAATCTTAATGGAAATTTACTTGAATCAACAACATCTATAGATATATCTTTATCAAGTGAAATTCCAAAAAGAACTTCGTCTTTATCACGATCATTTCAAACAAAACATCCAAAACGACGTATTACAAGAATGAAAAAACAACAAACAGTTGATTCACATGAACATTCACAAACTGTTGTTCTTGTTGAAAATGATGTGGTTTTTCAACAATTACTTAAAGAATGTACTACTAAAGTAAATCATTTAAATTTATTTTGACAAAAAAAAACAAAATTTTTTTTCTTTTTTTTGTCTTTTATTATTTTTTAAGACAAAACGAATGGTTATTGAAAAAATGGAAGATGTTGTTGAAGGTTCATCAGCAATAAAAAATATTGATTCATCATCAATGGTTAATTTAGAAGAAAATGTTTTAATAGCAGGTTTTTGTGATTTACTTGAACGTACTTGGTCTCATGGTCTTCATCATAAACCAAATGGAAAATCTGCTTTATGGAGTCATATTAAATATTATAATAAACTTCAAGATTACGAATCAGTACAAGTATCTCATACCGGTCTTCCAGAAATATTGCATAAAGATGAAAATCCAGGTAAAATTTTAAAGACACCTTTTTTTTTCTTCTTAAAAATTCAATGAAATATTTTTTATTTAGCTCTTATTTGGTGTCTAATGAGAAAACAATTAGTAAATCGTAGTGCATCAAATAGTCGATCACAATCTCCCAGTGGTCATCGTAAGCAATATACTTCCTTGTTTTATCTTGTTAACTTTTTTCTTTTACTATGTATTTATTTCATAGGTTCTCATACTCTTCCACGTTCTCAAATGAGCTTACATCAAGCACGTTCATCACCTCTATTAGCAACAGCAAGTTCAACATTAAATTTAATTTCATCTGATAATATGATGAAATCTAATCAAATAAATACATCTCTAGCTCATGATTTTCATTCTATTGAATTATGTTTTGGACACAATCCAGTATCTGTTTCAGCATCTGAAATTGGTTTTGTTCGTGCATTTGTTCGTTTAGCACTTGAACGTCGTCTTTTATCACATCATTTATCTGAATTATGTTCTCATAGTGATCTATTACAATCTTTATATAAGCGTGAAGCTTTTTTACGTGTCGATGATGGAGATTTAAGAAAACAATTTTTAGCTCATATTGAATCTCTTCAATTACTTGATTATCAATGTTTTTCAAATTCTTATCCCGATATTGATATTATTTATCATGTTATTATTGTTCCTACGAAAGCACGTACAACAGGAATTACTAGTACAACAACTGCTAATCCATATATTGCATTAGCTGGTATTTTAGGATCAACAAAAGTTCTACCATTACCATCAAAAAATGCACTTGAAATTAGATTCAAAGTAAAATCTTCATTTTATATAAAATAGAATAAAAAAAAAAAAAAGTAAAGTTCATGATGATATTTTTCTTTTTTTATTTAGCACAAAAATTTGGGTCAATTAACAACACTTCGAATAGGTCATGATAATAGTGGTTTAATGCCTCGATGGAATATTGATTATATTCTTGTTCGAAATCAATTAACGAATAATGTTTATCGGTTTGTTATTTTAATTCTTTTCTTATGTTTTTTTTTAAAATTTTCATTTAAAAAAAACTAGATTCCCATGTGGACGATGGTTAGGTAAAGGTGTTGATGATGATAGTTTGGAGCGACTTCTTTTTGTTGATTCGACATATTCATTTGAAATGAATGATAATGATAATAATAGTAATGGTTTATTCGATTCTGGTTCACCATTTCAATTAATGACAACAAGTTATATAAGTGGTGGATCTCAAGCTAATTTATCATCTTCAATACGATCTCGATCACCTAGTTTACGACGTGCCAGTGAGCAAAGTAAGACATTTTTTTTAGTCATTTTTCTTTTAATTCATGACATTATTCATATCACATATGAACGTCCCCTTAAGATTTTGTCATCAGTTGGCTTTCGGAAAATTTCTATCGTCGTAAGATTTGCATGAAATAATGATTTTTTTTTAATGTACTTTTTATCTTTAATATCCCAGCACTACCGCTGCTATTGATTTAACAATATATATACTTTTTTTCTTTTCTCATCGATCATGTATTATTATTTGATTTTGTTTATTATTTAGAAAATCAATCAAATCACCAAGGTGATGATATTTATGAATTATTGGGTCGATCAATTAATCAATTAGTTAAATATTTTGATGAACCTGAAAAAAAAGTAATTTAAATAAAGTTTTGTTTTTTATTTTCAAAAAATTTTTACATAAAAATTCTTTAGAGAGGATTAATAACACCAATTTTATGTGGTGAAGATGGTCTTGTTAATGCATTAGAAAAAACTCTTTCCTATGGTTTGAAAAAATCAACTGGTAATGTTCCATTTTTTGGTAGTGGACGAAAACGATATGTTTGGGATTTCTTAAGTACATATTTAATTATTTTATTTTATTTTATTTTTTTTTTTTTTAAATATTTTTTGTATTCAGTTAAAGTTTGTGATGAATATGATGGTCGTCGATCTCAATGGCAACGTACGAAATTAGAAAAGACTATTATTTGTTATATAAATGGAGTTCGATCAATTGAAAAAGGTCTTGCTACATTTGGTAAAGATGGTCGCTTTCAAAGTTGGTGTTGTTTAGCTTGCAAGTATGTTTTCGACTATATATATTTATTTTTATTATTATTTAATATAATGTTTTTAGACTTCATTTATTATCAGATTGGTTTCAATTATTAAGTCAATGTAGTGATGCATGTCTACAACAGTTCTATGATCCATTAAATAATTGTTTTCGACAAGAAAAACTTAATCAATTTATTATCAATATTTTAGAGCCTGTTAAAGATTTTGATTTCGCTCATTTGGAACCGGCATTACTCAAAGGACTTGCTGGTGTTTAAAATATTTGTGTATATATATATATAATGTGTGAACTATTTTTATTGTGCTTCTCGGTATGTCAAGTCGAACAAACAGTGAAATGCACAAAACCGAATCGGCCTTATATTTGCAATAAATATTTATTTTCTTCTTTTTTTCTTTTCTATAAAGTTTTTTTTTTCTTGTTCTTTGTCTCTTTGCATTCTCTAAATATATGTGAAACTGTTTTATCTACAATTTCTTATATAAAATCAAACGAATATGGGAATAATCGATTTGTTCATAGTAAAACAATTGAAGTGAATTGTTTTGTCTAATTCAATAATGTTTTCCAACATATCAAACATCTTGTACTTGATGAACTCAATCTATAATGGTCAACAATGTTTTATTTATCGATATTATTTATGTCTATTGAACAAATATCGAATTGTCAGTAAGATTCATTCATGCAATTATAACTGATAATCAGACAGAAATATAAAAAGAATCTTTGATTTTTTTTAATCTTTCTTCGCATTTCAGAAACCATAAAACGAACCTTCAAATCACACGCAAATATTATACATATGTAATCAATTGATCCATATCATTTCGTGCTCGCGTTTAATTCAGTCGATATTATTTTCTTTTCTAACGATGTTCTTCTTTTTCTCGGATCGATAACACACAAAACAATCAATTTGTTTATAGCAGTTGTCATTTTTCATGTCATGCTAACTTATCAATGATTAGATCATAGTTTTTATCTGATCAATGAAACTTTATGCGAGTACATCGCAGGAATGTAGTTGTTTTTCGTTTGTGTTATTCATAGAGATCATGTTCTCAACTCGTTTGATTCTTGCTTTCGTTCATTATCATGTCACAAATGATTTTTCACAGCATTTTTATTTTATAGAACGCGATCAACAACTTTTTCGTATAACATTATCAATAGTTTGAGTTATGCTTCTGAGTAGATGTCCTATGTCAGTTACAATCTGTTTAATGCAGTGCGAAGCAAAGCACTTATGAAGATCGATGTTTCTATTAGTGCGAAGTAATGGGATAAACTTAAGAATGGTTAATCAGAAAGTTCCTCCGAATGCGAAAATAAAATCTTGTAATTCGAAATGTTAAAAACACTATTCGCCTCTATACAGAAGACCTCATTTATTTGCTATTGACCCGATAGAAAGACAAAACTTTTGGAGACTTTTTTCAAGCTGATTAAATCGAAAACAACCAAGAAGAATTGATGTTAATCTTTTTTATGCAAGTAGTCTTATGTATTGCACTTGCAACAACAGTCGATAAAAGATAATGTATAACATAAATACTCAAATGATAAGTTCACGACATTCTTCATAAACATATCAAAATGTATCGACAGAAGTTTTGTAGTAATACTAATCATCATCATATAGATTTCACTTTCTTTCGACTTGGATTGACTGATTGAAACGACTTTTTAAAAAGCACCATGTTTGTATTTTTGTATGCAAGACAGGGGTGGAACCGGTTGAGAAATATTAAAACGGTCCGGTCCGGCCGGTTGAAAAATCCTACCGGTCCGGTCCGGCCGGAAACCGGCCGGTTGGAATCACATGTCCAACCGGTGAAATTCCGGTGAAAATCGGTTAAAAACCGGTGAAAAAATGTCGAATTTTTTTTTGAAAACCTATTTTTAGAAAAAATGGCTCCAAATATGAAATAGTTTAAGGCGCATGTAAAAGGCACTCATCATAATAAATCTTTTTAAAGAGAACCTCAGAAAAAACGATTAATATAACATATATTTTGAGTACTTTTTCACGTATTCTGACAGAAAAAACATGTGATACCTTAGTTTTTATGGTCAAAAACAGGGTTAACAAAGAAGATTTCTGAAAACTTTCAACCGGTAAAATTCCGGTCTTTACCGGCCCGGTCGATTTCTTCAACCGGTCCGGTCCGGTCCGGTACCGGTCCGGTCCGGTCCGGTACCGGTCCGGCCGGACCGGTACCGGTTTGCCGGACCGGTTCCAACCCTGATGCAAGAGAAAATCATCTGTCACTTAAGTTTAGATACTGGCACGAAAAAAGACCGATTTTCTATTCAATTCCAGTATGGATCAGTATTTCGAAAGCATTTCATAAGGTCTACCATCAAAAGTTTGAAAACTTCAAAATGTAATTCGTACTACGGATTTAACCTGTCTTCCATCTAGTTTTCTATTGTGTTTTTCATGATATTATATTCGATGTTTTCATTTTCTTTATTGTGTTAGTTCAATTAACAGTATGTCTAGTAGAACATAATCTTTATGTTACTAATTAATAACGTGTGACAATATTCTTGATCGGTCAAAAGAAAAAAATTCATTCTTTCTATGAATTAGGTTAGACAAGACTCACTATTATCTTATCAGTATAAAACCTAAACAAATTGAAATCGTAAGCTTTGTTTTCGAATTTTTTTGTTTGACATTAACATATGTGCTGTTAAAGCAGTACGTAAAGAATTTGATTTGTTTTCTATTTGTTAAATACTTAAGAGTGAACGTTGAAAAAAAAGAGTTAGCCGTTGTAAGACATCAATGATAGAATGATATATTAAAATTGAATTATTATTTTATATATTATAAAGGACAATAATTGGAACTATTTTACAATTATAAGGTGCCACTAGTCAATAGTATTCTTAAAATGAAATATCAATAAACAATTACTGATTTCATCAACATATCTTTTATCCATTTTAATGTATTTTGACGTTCAATTACGTAGTATTGCATAAATTCTGTTTGAATGGTAGAAAAATATTTAGGAAAATTTTTTATAATGACATGAAATTTTTCATCTTTAAACTTGAGTTTTAGATGGACATAAAAGCCAAATTCATAAGAAATAAAAAGCTATATGCCCTATTAACCTTGGTCAATGCTTGCTTCGAATTTTTTTTGTAATTAATCACTATGATAGAATAATAATCGATGAAAAAATTATGTTTCTGTTAATATTATTTAGAGTAAGAGAATGATAAGTTCATAACACTCGCGCACATCAATAAAACGTCCCATACAACAAAAAAAAGAAAAGTATGCTAATAAAATGTTTCAAATGTTATTGTTATTTATTTATTTATTCGACTGCTGAAGCAATGACTTGCACAGCTGATTCATCTGTTGAACGTATTGTTAATTGCATGGCAATAGCTTGTGCTCCTGGATCTGATGTTGTACCACCTAATGCCATTTTAGCTCGAACAAGTACATCATGTCCACCACGATAGACACCTGCTAAATAAAGTGCATGTGATGCTTTACCGTCTGGAACTTTGTCTGATCGTTCACAAGGTTGCATTCCCATGTAACTTATAATTTTTTTGACACATTCTATAATAAATATATGATTAAATAAAATATAAATTAATTTAATAAATACCTTCAAGTGTTGAAATTGATAATGTATATGTATCTTCAAGTTCATTTTCAGCTCCAATTTCTTCCCATGAAGCAGACCAATTTGGTTTAAGTACTTTTTGTACATGATCACTAACTGTTATTTCAATATCTTCAAGCTAAAAACAAATAAACAAAAAAAAAAAAAAACTAATGCTTAGAACAAATAAATAATCAAAAACTACAAACCACAAATTCATCAGCATAACCTTCTTCATCATCTGGTAGACCTGTTGCTGGATCACAATCTTTAACTGTATATTTCATTGTACATGCTAATGTACCAGTTACAGCTGATGAATCATCAGGTAATTTAACTAATGTATAAGTTGTACCCGTATCATTACATTTAATAACTTGACATGGAGTATAATGAACAACTTCAAAACCATCAGTTGATCCATCCATTTGAACACTTACTCGTTCTAATAATTGATCATTTAATGTATTATTTATATCAAACTAAATACAAAAAAAGTCTCATAAAAAATAAGAAAAAAAAAAGAGAATCAGTTAAATATTTACTTGAAAAACAATATAATGACTAAAAACATGTTTTATACATCGTACAACATATTCAACTTCACTTTCAGTTAAATCAACTGGTAATGATGATTTAAATATTGGACCCAAATGAGCAAATTCTGGTATCGCAGATAATTGTTCTATGAAATTCAATAATCAATTTATGAAAGAAAAAAAAAATCTTTTTTTTTTCGTAAAACTTACCACCATAAGTATCTTCTCGATTTGTTTTCGATTCAGTTCCTGGACGTGGAATACCAACACCAATACTAATATCTCCTATAGAAAAAACAAAAAATAATTTTCTTTAAATAATAAATATCAAACCTTTAGGTTGTTCAACTGGAACTGCTTCAACAGGTACAGTTCGAACATCAAATGGTTTTGTTGTTGGTTCAATTGTATAACGATGTAAAAGACGTTCAAGTGATGATAATGATACATTCATTGCTATATTAAATATTCAAGTTATTTTTTTTAATCTAATTTAATTTTGTTTATACTTACAATTGAGAATATAAGCTGAATTAAGTGGTTTATCATTATGTTTTAATAATTGATAATAAAAAGTAGCACGATCACGAACTTCATCATCTTGATCAAGTGTTGTTCGTTGTAAAAGTACCAAAATATTTGGTAATAATTCTTCTGATGCTGCACCAAATTTAGCTAATGCACTTACAGCAGCTATAATATTAATTAATTAGAAATAAAAATAAAAGAAAAGAAAAATTTTACCAGCTCTAACAGGTGCATTTTCAAGAATAACACGATTATAAATATAACGAATATATTTAGCTGGTGTTGTTGTACGTGGTCCTTCACGACCCAATAAATGAAGAATACGAGTAGCTAATGATGTATGTTCACAATCTTCGATAAATTCACATAAATGAGCCAAACCTTTTTAAATAAAAATTTACATTATAGAAGAATAGAATTGATTATTTAGGTTAGTTTTTTTAGTTTACCCGCTTCTTTTGCTTCAGGATTTTCTTCAACAATTGATATAATTGTATTAACAATTGCTTTTTTATATTCATAACCACCTTCTTCACGTAACATATTTGAAAGAAATGTCATTAATACAGTATGTTTACGTGGAAATTTTTGACATAATGATCTTTAAATATTAAAAAAATTTAATGATGAGAATTTGGTTTTTTTTGTCGATTAATTTCTTACTTAATTGCATCAACAACAACTGTTTTAAATTGATCTGATATTTCAGATAAAAATGATGAGATTTGTTTCATTAATCGATCAACACCTGCTTCATTACCCGTCTATAATAACAACAAATATTAAATTATTTAATTAAAACAAAAAAAAATCAAAAGTAAAATACTTTAAGAAGAGTTGTTATAGCTAATGTTGCAATTGATCGATTTGAATCAGTAATTAATGTCTCAAGATCAACATTACAAGCTGTTACAGCTGCTGGATATTGAATAGCAACCTTTAAATCAAAGAATATTTTATATTTTCTTATGTAAAAAAACAAACAAACTTTATTAAGTGTTCGAACGGCTGCATAACGTAAAACAGGTTTAGGTGATGAAATAAATAATTGAAGAACATTAACAGCTGAACTAAGTTCTTTTGGTGTAACACATTTAAGTGATACAATAGTTGATGCAGCTTCATAAATAACCATTTCATTTTTATGACGTAAACATGAATCAATAAAATCATACATTGGACTATCGGTTCTAAAAACAAAATTCATATTTTAATTATTTATTTTCTTGGTTTTTTTTCTTTTTTTACCCTTCGCCTTCTTCATTTATAAGATTAGCTGCAATGCGAATCTAAAGAAACAAAAATTCAAATATCAAATTAATTATAGAAAAAACAAAACAATGAATATGCTAACCAGAAAACAATATGCATATGGACTTCGAAGACCAGCTTTAGAAAATTTAACAATTAATTTTCTAATAGCATGTTTATCTGTTCGACGTATTTGATATAAAAGACCAAGTGCATGATATTGTACCATTATATTATCATTATTAACAGCTTCTTGAACTTCATTAACCCATCGTTTAACTACTTCTGGACCTTGACGCATTAAATGAACTGATGATGTTAATGCAGCTGATGCAACTGATGGTAATTTATCAACAATTGCTTGTTTCATATATCGTTCAACACTTTGCATCATTGATGCCTATTTTAATTTAATGAAAATAAATATTTTATTTTCAATTAATATTTCTAATATATACATACATCAGTTATTTTACAT